TTTTTTTCCGTTACCATGTCGATTTTCGCTACTTACAAAAGCGTGCTTTTGCAATCATAATTGTGCCTATATAATAATTTTCCTTTCATATTATTGTTTAAAATTATTTAAGAACTTTTAGAATGCAGATTTTGTTTATTATACGAATATGCTACACATAAATTTTTATTTTATAGTAAGGTTAAAAAAAAATTTATGTATGAAAGTAATTGTCATTTCTACTTCATTTTTTTATAATGCCTAAAATTTTTGTCCCAAGCTTTTTTTTTTTTTCAAATGTTTTTTCTTTAATTACAACTATTGTTCCTTATATGATATCTGAAGCTTTATGCCTCATAAAGAGTGAAACTAAAAATAGATATTTTTAAAATGTTTAAAAATTCTACTGCAGTTCTCTAGGCATTCTTCTATCTATATATTGTTGGGAAATCCACAAATAAATGTACATTTTTTATAAATGTGAGTATCTAACTGCATATTATTTGAATTTTATACTATTACAGCACAAATAATTAAAATTATGTTTGAGGAGGATTTGATGTTAGCAATGATTTTATATATCTTGGAGACTATTTAGGAGACTTTTTTTCATATATGATGCAACTATAGCAACTACTTTTCTTGTTTTCATCCAGTGGAAGCCCTGATCTTGTATTATGCAAAAGTGTGGATTCAACGTTTTCACAAATCATTCAAACACAATGCATTTCGGCTTACCGTCGTTCCATAGGGTACTGAAGCTCCTATCATTTTACGTGTCTGATGAAATTCTTGTGGGGCCAGCATGTGCATATACTGAGCTGGATTCAGTAGGAATTATTCTCGCACTATCATGTGCAGCTTTTTGCAAGAGGTTCTCAATTTCCGGCTTTTGTTCATAAAATAAAGCAATGCACATAAAATAAAGCATTTTCAAACTATACATAATGTTAAAAAAAAAAAAAAATGAGCTGCTAACGAGTTGCAATCCTCAATAGTTTTCAAAACCATAGTTTTGCAAGAAGCTAAATAATTAAATTTTAAAAAAAATTCAAAAGGTATGAATTATTTCATCAAGTTATTAAAGCATCTTTAAATGCACATCAGACATAACCAGTTTAAAAGTTGCTGTCCAATGTGCAATTCTAAACTCTTTCAAATTATTACTT